TAACAAACAACAACAACAACATCATAATTAACAAACCACATGTTTGATCGAATTTATTTTATGGGAAAATGTGTTTAAAATATATGAGAACATTATATAATGTCTCTAAAAAACGAATCAGTTAGCTGATAGCTAAGGTGGCACGACTGCCACTTCTCACGTTGTAGTTGCGAGGTATCCGGTGTCGAATGCTCTCCAAGCGAAACTAAAAAAAAATGTCGCAACAAATAATGCGATGGACGCTTGTGTCTACATGTGAACATGCGTCGTGTGGAGTGCGGTGTTGTCGTGTGTTGTGGCCCAAATCAGTGTGGTGTGGAGTGGCGTGGTGTGGCTTGTCTCACAATCCGAACGTTGCTCTGATTTCTTAGAGGGTATTGACTCGGAGAAACGATACATTACAGGTATACATTTGTTTATTGTTTAGGTCTTCGCTACGTATAACAACAACAACGATAACAACAACAATTACATTATATAATAATAATAATAATATTATTATTAATAAACTTACTTCATCAGCATTAATAATAAAAATGATTTAATTAAAGCATTGTTAAAAATTTCGATTATTAAAATCGCGTGAACGTGATTGAACTCGTTGCGGTCATGATTCTGATCATAATAATAGCGACATTATAAATAGTAACAAACACGTCATCAATAACAACAGCAACAACAACAACAACAACATTAATAATAATGTTAATAATAATAACAATAACATTGATGACAATAATAACGAAATAATTATAACGTCCAGACGACAAAGGCAATGCAAACCGTTGTACTCAATTTCACTCAATACACCTACCTACACACATTCGTCATTTTTGAGTTTACTACTACTGCTGCTACTACTGCTGCTACTACTGCTACTACTACTGCTGCTACTACTGCTGCTACTACTGCTGCTACTACTTCTACTACTACTGCTGCTACTTCTACTACTGCTGCTGCTACTACTTCTACTACTACTACTGCTGCTGCTACTACTTCTACTACTACTGCTGCTACTTCTACTACTGCTGCTGCTACTATTACTACTTCTGCTACAATTACTACAACTACCATTATTACTACAACAATTCTTCCTAGTGTTATAAATGTTGTGGTTATTTTTATTATTTAAAAAAATAAAATTCTGGCAAAGAGCATGTACACACACACACACACACACACATACACACACATACGCACACAGACGTACATACATGCATTCACACACACACATACACAGACAAATACACATAGACACACATACATACAAGTATAAACGGTAAACAGACATGGAACCCTATTGGTGTTATGGGACCCGGCTTGCATTATTTCAAAATTGTCTTTTGCTTTACCGTGGTGTGTTAAACAAATAAACAGTTACATTTGTTATTTAATTAACTATTATGGAAACATTAAATTTCAGGCTTTATTATTTTTATTGTTGCTGTTGTTTTTATTAGCATTGTTATTGTTGTTGCTTTTATGAGATATGTTTACGCAATGAAGAGTTCTATAAACTATTGAGGACATTAAACCCAATAAAAATATAAGTTTGATGTCTGTTAACTGACGCTTTATGTCTCAATGTTTCAATTTGTTTAATGATTATTTGTTGTCTGCTGACGTGAGTGTTGTTGTAGATATTACTAGTGTTGTTTGTTGACGTGGGTGTTGTTGTTGATGTTGATGTCATTTGCTGTTGTTTGTTGAGGTCTCATCGTCGTCGTCGTCATAATATGATGGTCGCTTGGTCAGGTTTGGCAGACTAATAAACCTTTTCCCCCTAAACTGTAAACAATCTATGAAGTTTAGAATAAATGAAAATCTTTACCTCGTTGAAAACCTAGCTATTGTCACCATTTTGAAATTAGAGGTGCTTGCGAATACGAGCATTGAACTTTTTTCCTGCTAAAAGTTTAGTTTAGGGTAGCTACGCCGATGAAATTTTTATGTTTTATAGAATAAATACAATCTCGTTTCGTTTTGATATTATTTTGGATACCTACATACTACTTTTACTATGTTTACACGTTTGATAATAAAAAAAATATTTGGAAATCTTGCATTTAAACAGGCGACATCGGATCAGTTGATAAGAAAGACTTTGTATATTTGTTTGATAGAAGCAGGGAGCTCATCAAAGACTACATTGAAGATACATAGTAAAGACCATTAGGCCTAAAAGGGGCAAGCCCTGGGTTAAAAAGGACGTTGATGCTCTGAATTTTTTAACAGAGGTCCTTAGCTATTTGAATAACTAAGTGAAGGTTCGATTTATTTAGTGGAAACTTCTAATATTTCCAACTTTGAGTACTAACAAGGCATAACTCGTTTAGAAAAAAAGTCGGAGAACGATATTTTATTGGTGACCTTCTTCACTAGTTTATTCCATATTTTTCAACAGTTAGCTCCATGAAAAAGAGTAGTTTTAACAAGTATCCAACAAATAAAACATTTTAAAGTTAGGGAATAATTTTCGAAGAGGCCCTATTTTTTATAGCCCCTTCTTCTGGATAGTACCCCTATTTTCAATCCGACCCTGATCACGTTATTGGTACTAACACACGAATTCTGCTGTCTATTGTATCAGGAAATTAGTAAAAAAAAATTTGCAACGGTAAACGTGAGGGGAAAAAAACTAAAGAAAAATCGTGTTTGAATGAAATAACAATTGTAGGTTGGGCACTCTGTCTGTCTGTGTGTGTGTGTGTGTTGGTGCTGATTGTTTGTAATGTTATTACTACTGTGTGTGTGTGTGTGTGCATGTATGTGTGTGTTTGTGTGTGTTGGTGGTTGTTCTGGTGTTATCGTTGTTATTAGTACTACTATATATAACAATTTGTTTTGTTGTTTATTTGTTGTAGTAACAATAATTATAACAATAATAATAATAGAAGTAACAATAATTATGACAATAATAATAATAGAAGTAACTATAATTATAACTTAATTATTTTCTACCAAGAAGGCATTGATGATGTATGTATCGATATTTTACGTCCATTACATAGTTGCAGGTTGTAGCTTGCAGCTAACAAACAGCTTTTTAACTTTTTAACCATTTGTCAAAAATGAATTATTATAACGAAACAAATCAATAATAGTAATAATAAGAATAATAACATTATTATTTCTGTTATTTTTTAGTATTTTTATTTTAAATTTTTTGAAAATTTTTTAAGTACTGGCTGTCTTGTTCATTTTTTCAAGACATTTTCTCAATAATTCATCCATCCATTCATAGTGTTAATAAATGATGAATTTGTTAAAACATTCAGTCGATTCATTCATTCACATCTTCCTTTTCCTGTTCTTTGATACTAGTTAATAGTTAATTAGCAAGAAAGTGAATTAATTATATAAAATCATACCCTTTCAAGTCACCGTTTGATAGATTAACTACGTCAATTCTGTATATAATGATGAAAGAGCTATTTCAATAATAAAAGTATTAATAAAACTATAATAACAACAACAACAACAACAACAATAATAATAATGATAATAATAATAGTAATAATAATTAATGAGATCTACCTACCTGGACATGAAAATTACTCATAGTATAAATCCCTACTTTCCTTATTAGTAGAAAGTAATCTAATGGAAAATACCGCCAACGATTTCAGTGAAAAGAAAAAATTCTTATTTGGGAATACCATCAAACTCACACACACGAACACACATAGACACACAACACAACACACACACATACTTAAAAATGAAGCTATAGTGTTAGCAAAGTGCTTGGCGCTGCTATTGTAATGTGATCTGATTCCATTCGTTGTTAACAATACTCAAAATTTGAAATGACAAAATGTACCGCTGACTCCAATACCGAAATTCGTCTTGCAAAAATGACCGACAATCTCAATACTTTTGTACTTATTAAACGGTTCTCCATGGAATCGTAACTAAAATATGCATTCTCTCTAGTTAATTCATCACAAAGTGGTAAAATTATAGTACACGTGTTGCTACTATAGTAAAAACATAATACACATGTTACTATTCTTGCACCATCGCATACCTTGATACGTAATGCGTACTCAAGTGCTATGCGTACTATTACGCGATATCATGGATCTTTCAAATTACATTCTATTTCATTATAGTACTATGTACTATAAAGATATGCAAGTACACATTACAACTTTGTAAACAAATTCAAACCAAGTTACTGTTAATGTATAATAAATATATGCGTTTGATGCTTTTCTTTATAAGAGCAGATGATTTTACGATAGATATTGGAAAAGTTCGGCCATAGCTAACCACAAGACTAGAGACAGTTTCTAAAAAACAACAGAAAATAATTTTTTCAAATTTATTAATTTGTAAAACTTTATTGTTAATAATTATGTATTTCTACACAATTTGTTAGAATCGAACTATAGTAAAATAAAATGAAACAATTTTTAGAAATACTTATTTGGCGTTCATTACATTGGTATATATATAATATCCATGGTTCTTTATCTAATTTAAAAAAAAATGTTTCTATACAAATTGTTAGAATAAACCTACAATTTATTATTGAAATTAAATTAAACAGGCAAATGATCAATATATGTACAAATTTTCTTCTATTTTTTCCACAGATCAAAATTTTGTTAATCAGCCTCTCCACGGAGAAATCGTTGGGTCCCAACTTACTATGTAGTTGTCTGGCTTTTTTGCCTAAAAAATATATCAACGCCGCAGGCATTAATAAAAAAAAGTATTTTGATTTTAATTTAAAAACGCCATAAAGGCTGTGATTATTATCATTTATATTTATCATCATTTTCAAAGCCAAACAATTAAATTATTTTGATTTATGTAGCAAAAGAATATTTAGCCAAGAAATTCATTTAATGGCTAGAGTGGGACATAAAATTTTTCTAAAATATTTCTAATATGTTACGTATAACATAAGCCTCTTTTTGTCTGTCCTGAAACTGCCATGTTATTAGATCTAAAAATATCTTTTTACAATCCCTCAAAACTTCATAATCAATTTAAATGCACTCTGATATAAATGTATATATATAATATACAAAATGTAAAGAAAATACCAATATTTGATGGTTTTTTTCAGTGAGTTTGAAATCAAAGACTTCCATATTTTCCTGAATTCTTTTTGGATTGGACGATTTCGGTATGGTAACAAAACCCTTGTCCAGACTCCATCTAATCATCACTTGAGCAACTGATTTGTTATGCCTGAACATGCATGAGATGGTCATTCAAGTTATAAAATTGATAAACCATTTAGAAGGTTATTAAGTTAACCGATTTTTAAGCCACTCACTCTTTTGCCATGTTGATGAGGTCCGGATCATTGAAGCACTTTCCTCTGGCAAGTGGACAATAACCCATCACACAAATTCCTTTCTCTCTACAATAATCCACCAATTTTTCCCGCCTGCAAAATGGGTGGAGCTCAATTTGATTGATGGATGGGGTGGGCAAACCCGCCTCTTCCAAGCCTTTCAAATGCTGGATCCCAAAGTTTGAAACTCCAACTGACCTTTTAAAAAAATAGCAAGACAAATATAATCAATATTAATTAGGTCAGTCCAAATATATATATATATATATATATATATATATATATATATATATATATATATATATAGTGGAAGACCATATTTTATACAGTATTGTATGATTTCTCCAAATTAAAGTTTGTCTTTTTAATTTTCCTTACTAGAGTTTTCTGGAAATTGTTCAATTTATTGGAAATAGAATTATTATCCAAGTTCATCCTGAAAATTGAAAATTGAATAAAACCGTTGTTGGACAAACTTTAAATTGATTAATGACAACAATATGGTAGAATTCATACAATAATGTATGTGTGCATATATATATATATATATATATATATATATATATATATATATATATATATATATATATATATATATATATGTTAATTTATATTATACATACTTGATCAAACCTTGACCCTTCAGTTCTAAAAGTGCTTTATAAGTGTCAATGTTTCTTCCAGAACCTGGTGAGTGTATCAAAAAGATGTCCACATATTCTAACTGAAATCTGAAATTATGAAAAGTAGCATAACAAATGAGTAAATTAATTAGATGATAAAATATTTTTATGAAAATACACATATAAATAACATAGACCTGAACTATCAAATATAAAAACTGTTTTAATAAAAAGATCAACCTAATTTTTAAAAAATATTTAACATTCACATAAAATCAAGTTTTGAACAAAATCAATGGAAATTTTACAAGGATAAACTATTTTTGACAGATTTTATGGTTGCCTCATAGCCATGGTTGGAGTCCCACACTTTACTGACAACACAAATTGATTTCCGATCAATTCCTGATTTCTTTATTGCTTTGCCAACATCAGCTTCATTCCTAAATAAAATAAAATAAGAATTTGTACGTTCAGAAATATGTTTCATTGAAAATATCTCAAAAGTAATATAAATAAAACTGTTGAATAGAATATAATATAGAATCTGAAAAACTGCTGGGTGTCATTAACTTTAATTTTTAAAATTCAGCAGAATTCGCATGGATAATATAATAATAATTTTAATAATTTATTTAACTAAAATTAAAAGGCTCTCAGGAAAATAAAAAAATGAAAAATAACAAAACTAACTCGTAAAACTGGGCGGTGTCTAATAATCTGTAACCCTGTTTCAAAGCAAAGAGCAGAGATAGCTCTGCTTCTGAACCAGATCCAACTAAATACAGACCCAATCCAAAATTAGGAATTTTAACGCCATCGTTCAATTCAATGAAACTATCCAATGATGACATTTTTTGTCTAAAGAAGAAATAGTTAAACTTGAAAAAGACAGGACGCAATCTAAGGTGTCGACCGGTGAAACTATTCATGAAAGGGAAGCAAATTGGAATAATAAATTAAAAGTGAACTTTGACCGGTTCATGCGCTAGTACATATATAAGGACCATTGAGTTTTACAACCGGAATTTAACTTGTATAAAATTACCGCACATTCTTATACAAATTAACATGTTCCCTAACTATTTAGAATTCTCCCCGAAAATTTTGAACAGCGTGTGTACATATGCTGCACTGATCACTGTTACTTTTATAATGAATTAATATAATCTATATATATATATATATATATATATATATATATATATATATATATATATTTCCTATTCTTCCAACTTTCCAGTTTTATTTTCATTTATTTTACCTTTTATTAATTAGTAACTTTTATTTAATTTCATGTTTTAGTATTAAATTTATCTTTTAGGTTACATCCTTTGCAAGGTACCATTTTAACTTCACTTTCAATTCCAATTTTATTTTTAATATCTTATCTAAATAATTTACATAATTCGTTTAATTCTCATTTATTTTAATTAAATTTCTTATATTTCATTGGTTTTAGGCTCTGATGATGGTTACTTAGCCGAAACAACGTTGTCAGCTTCTAATATGTCACAATTTCACAATAAATATGAATGTCAAAAACTACGCTGTGTTGAGTCCATAATAAAAAAGTTGATAAATGCAAAATGGGCAAATAAATTTAACAAAATATGTATTAATGAAAACCTCGTTCCTAAATATATATATATGTATATATATATATAATCTATATATCAAGTAACTAGAATCTATGTAAACAAATAATTAATAAGATTATATGTGTAAATAAAAAACAATATAGCAGATTCAACCAGCCAATCAGAAAGTTTCCTAAGGCGTTCGTTCGATGACGTCAACTTAGTACGGTTAGCATTGTTGTTAAGACTGTATAATAGTGAACTGCATACGTTAAATAAGTTTTTTATTGATGTGAATGATTGAAATGATGAGAATGTATTGTTGAAACGAGCTGAGACGGCATGAAAATCAGATCAGGCATTCTGCCTCGCTTGAGGCTTGAAGCAGTCTGCCTGATCTCTCTTATTTTATTTATTTATTTTATTATATAGAGTTATATAGATTTATATAGAGTTGCGCGACTGGTTTGTCTGTGGTTTGTATGATTGTATTTTTTTTATTTTAGGTGGGTTCTTTAGCGGTTGCTCATGCATACATACATCATGTTTGTTTGTGTGGTAGTATTTTATGTTCTGTTTTACTCCTTTTTCTCTTTCTTCATGAGTCTTAAGTTAAGTTAATGAAACATAGGTAGGTGAGCTTAATTTATTATATAGGCAGGCTAGGGCATAAAGTTATTTAGTTACATAGGTAAGTTAGAGATTTCTATTCTTTTATTCTTATTTGGCTGTTTTTTTTTTTTTTTTTTGTTTTTTTTGGTTTGTTTCACACCATACATTCAGCAGGTACGCGGTGGTTCCTGGTTTTAGTGGGTTTTTTATCGATTGAATGTAGTAGTTTGCATGTTATATAGAGTTGCGCGGTTATATAGAGTTATATAAAACTAAAACTCTTGATGTCTCTCATAAGTTTCGTAGTCTAGGTTTTATCTTTGATTCTACTATGTCTCTCTCTTCTCAGATTAATAGTGTTGCTAGAAGCTCTTACTTTCATCTACGTAGAATAAAAAAACTTTTGCCTTTTCTTGATGATCCTACTCTTCTCCTTCTTGTTACTTCGTTAGTCTTATCTAGGATTGATTATTGTAACTCGCTCTACTATGGTCTTCCTGACTCTATACTCTATCCTTTAAGTAAAGCTTTTAACTCTGCTGCTCGTCTAGTTGCTCGTGCCCCTTTCTTTTCTCATATATCTCCATATCTTGTTCTCTTGCACTGGCTACCTATAAAATATAGAATAATTTTTAAAATTTGCACGTTCATGTATAAGTCTCAATCTAAATTATTTCCTAAGTACTTATCAGATATATTAATTGAACCTAAACGCCCCGGTTTACGATCGTCTTCTTCTTCTCGCTTTTTCGTAACTCGTGTTAAACACTCTTTTGCCAAATCTGCTTTTGCTTTTTCTGGTCCTTTTCTCTAGAACTCTCTACCTACTTCTCTAACTATTTCTCCATCACTTGCGAAGTTCAGAGCGGATCTCAAGACCCATCTGTTTTCAAAATTCATTGAGGAGCGCTGTTGAACATCGCGGAAATAGGGCTTTATAAGCTAATTGATTGATTGATTGATTGATTGATATAGATATAGAGTTGCGGACGTGAACTCTGCGGATGTGGACGGTTGCGGTTTAGAAAAATCTTTTCTGCTTGGGGCTCTATTGGACAGTTCATAAAGCTGTGGTTTGCATTTTGAATATCACTCATGATACTCTTCATATTGACGACGAGCATGGAAACATTGACAAACTTGCAAATTTTTATAATTAAAAAATTAAATAAATAATAATAGTAATAACAATAGTGACAAATAATAATAATAATAATAATAAAAATTTTAAAAATAAAGTGTTCATAAATTAAAGATTTGTCAAAGTAAAGAAATCTTGTTCCATGGCCTTATTAATCCATTTACCTCGGCCAGATTTTTCTAGTGAACTATAGAGCTCTTTTTTTGCCAGCTGGTATTCCTTAGCCTCTTCCTTCGCCTGAGCATATGTTAAATCCTTACTAAATAAAGCAGAGTCAGGTGCTCCGTTGAAACGGTTTCGTATGGCTAAGAATTTTTCAAACAGAGCAAGTTTGCTGACTGACGAGTGTTCCGATGTATTCTGGAGTTTGCCAGTCTGCATCAAACACAAAAAATTAACTTTTTCTTAAAAATATCAAACGAAAAATAATTTTTAATAAAAAATGACAAACAATAAAATGATCGTCGTCGTCATCGCTGACGTTAATTTACGTCACCAATATCGTCCGCAACATTCATGTTTTTGATCTAAAGATAGTAACATAAATTCAAATTCAAAAGTTTGAACCTGTTGGACTCATTACTCATCTAAACGTATTGTAATATGTCAAATCAATTACGAAAGTCACAAACAAATCAGCCTGTGCACTCGTAAAAACCACATGACATATAGTCAATTCATAAAATGTTTGAAAAAGTAGCTTACATTGGTGTTGATAACTTCCATAGGTTCAGTAAGACCCGCATACCACACAACAGCAAAATTGGGAGCTTTGATTGGCCTCCTCTGTTCAGGGTTGCAAATGGTTCCCAAAATTGGTTTCTTCAGCTGAAATCCTTCTGGCAGAGCACCAATTGAAGTCAATCTATCATAGAGTGCCCGACTTGAATGTTCACGATTGAAGAGGCTGCCGAACGTTATGCTCGTTAGATAGATTGGTAACACAAAATGACTCAACAGAGAACCTGACAAAGGGAAGTGTTCACATTTGTAGATCTTCAAACAAACACAAAGTTAATAAGTAAATTAATAAAACAATAATTCTTCCTAATGAAACCGATTTAAAAATGTATGGAATGATAAAAATGTACAAACAATGCAGTTTTTAAATAATTCAAATGGCAACTGGCAACATAAATCATCCAGAAAGAAAACATAGTGGAACGGATGTAAGCTCATTTAATGACCTTGACAGCCGAGAACATTCCACCTGGCAACCTTATCACTGCAAGACATGATGAGCAGTCGTTCTCCCTGCAGGATGCCATCCCACGACTGCACCCCCGATTCATGGGAGGTCACTGGAATCGTGCCCTCCCCTGATTCTATCTTTGTTCTTAATATTCCTCGAGCTAGTCTGCCATTTCAGTTTTCATACATGAGTTAATATTTCAAAAATTTATGGATAACATTACAATCAAATGAACAAAAGCTTGTGTGCTTGTGTGACAAAAACAAAAACTTGGAAAGAGCAAGCAACAAACTTTTTTGCTTGTGACTGCGCAGGCACCCAGCTACTTGTGGCCTCATCAGCACTCTCTTCTAAAGATTTCTTTTGTTCATGTGGAGAAAAGATTCGGGCATCCCCACAAGTTGATGTGGAGACGTAAAGATGAAATTTCACACTTGGTTTCAACACACAACCAAATCCTGAGCTGTGCACATCAAATATCACATCCTGCGTTTCATTCAAACCAATTGAACATTCATAAGAATCAAAATAACAATAAAAAATATTGAAATGAGGCAATATCTTAAACAAAAGTACTAACATCATTGTCTGTTTCACAGCTGAAAAACAGATTCAACTGTTGGAATAAAAAGTTCTTCAAACCTTGAGAAATAATGAAAAAAATTATTTATTTAGATATTGACATACAAGCATTAAGCTTATTAAAATCAGACTACAAAAATAAAAAAAGGACCTCTCCTAGCCAAAATTTCAGCATGGCAATCATTGATGGCTCTACCATTATTGCTGATAAATTCTCCATTTATGCACTTCGTACCAGAAGCCAAACTGACAAGTTTTGGATTGCTGTTGTTGTCCTTGGTCATTATGAACCCTGCAAGCACCTTTTGCTTTGAATATACAGAACTGCCTGTCAAACTTTTGAACTTCTCTTGTACCAGCTTCATGAAAAGATCGGGGTTGTAGGTGGGTTCTTCATGGGCCATGTCATCAACTGACGCCTGCTCTCCACTCTCCTGATTATTCACTAATAAAATGTAATGAAATGTTGAAACATACAGTAACTTTTATGAAATAATAATGCAAACTTTATTTGAAAAGAATCCAAATTGACTTTATAAGTAGACACTCAACAGACATTACAAATGGTGAAGTAAAATGATAGTATAGAACAAACCGATCAATAAATTAACATTGAAGAGACTCTTCAGTGCCAGTACAGCAGCTCTAGATTTGGACAATCTTTTGCTACTGCCGATGCCTTTGAATGCTTGCCCCTTCGATATCACCTCAAATTCAAACATCTTGCCTGGTCTAATATACATTGAACAGACCAAAATTATGAAATAATTAATTAAATACTTTTGAAAATTTATTAAATTTTTGTTAAAAATAAAATGAATGCTTGTTAAATATAAAATAATAAATCATAAATTTACTAATGAAATTAAACTATAGCCCAAAAAATGAATTCTTCAAATAATAAAAACAAAAAAAGAATAAATTAAAGAAAAACAATTGAATGGATGACAAAACATTAGCTGACCCAGTGCCTGATTCGGATTTCATGACATACGTAGCTTCAGGGTCGTACTTGTTCAAAAGAAAGAGAGGATTTGTCTGCTTTTCTTGTGTGGTCAGTTTGTCAAACTCATTATTTTTTCTCATATTTAACTTGTTATTACATGGTTTGCTGTCATCATTATTGAATGATTGTTGGTAACTGTCATTGGCTGAACTGTTGAAGGAGTTGTTGGCATTGTGAAATAAAGTCGCATGCTCCCTGTAGTAATTCAACGCAATCTGAGCTACGTTTGCTTTTGCCAGTTTCTTATTGTTAGCCTTTCCAATAAAGACCTGGGTGTGATTAAATTGAAAATAAAATAACAATAACAATAAATAACTGAATTAAAAAATAAATAACAGTTAAAGAGATAATTAATTAAACTAATCTAAAATTGAATTGAATATATATTGAAACACACATCCCACTGTTAATAATAACAGATAAAATTAGATGAGACTGAATGAACAAAAAGATCAAACTTGATTTTTGAAGATGAGTTGCATGGTGAAGATGGGATCGTGGGAAGGACCCTCCTGGCTTATGAGTGTGTACGGCAGACCGGGCTGAATTTCATTCAACACCATTATTGGGTTTTTGTCGTCAAAGATTTTTTGCTTCTTGAAATTACTTGCACTTGAACTGGAATTTCCAGAACTATCCTCGTGCAATCTTTTGAGGTTGTTCATCGTGATGATGTATGCCTTCTTATTTACCAGGATCTCTGCTATGTTTTTGTAAAATCAGTTCTAAGTTTTAGAAATATCACCCAGCCTTATTAATTTACATTAATAATTATATAAATAATAAATATACCAAACAAATGTTTATAAAGCAAAAGTTATGTTACAAAGAAAAATTATTCAAATTAATTATTAAATTAAAACCATATTAAATCAATTAGTTTAATTAATATTTATATTATTAATCAATGGCAATACTTAATTGTAATTTATATTTATTTTAAATTTAAACGTTAATTATAATTTATACAATTAATTGCTATTCAAATAATATATATATATATATATAATAATATATAATAAAATATAATTATCAAAATGAAAGTAATCAACCAATGAATCTGGAATCATTATGAATCATTAGTTTAATCGGGGTTAAAAGTAAAAAAAAACCTACTTGTTGGTAATAATCTAAATCGGGAAGGCGATAAAACAAAACCAGAAAGGAGGTACCACGGAATCAAGTTATTTTTCGACAAGAAGTTTTTTAAAGAAATAATTGACATCAAGCTTTTATCGATAAAAATATTAAAATAAGTTAATTAAAAAATAAAAAACTTTATAAATGCTCATAACAGACCACAATTTTCCTTACCGATAACTAAATAAACAATTCTTAAAAAAGGTAAACATCAATAACGACACTGAAGCTAGGAAGAAAGCCACTAAACCTTAACTAACCTGTTTTAGGTGCTTTTTAGGTGCTGTTTTATTCTAGTTATATGTATCAAACAGTATCTTATTGAACAAAATAGTATCATAAAATGAATAAAGATACTTTTTTTTAATTTAAAAAATTCTCAATTTGATTTCATTGCGATATCGATGATGATGATGAATGTGACCCGACTAATTAAAAAACATCAAATTAAATTAAACATCATAAAATAGGATGGCTATATCGTTGAGAAATCGTTGGGGGAAATGACGTCATGTTAACAGTAGTTATTTCACTAGATGGTAGTTGATCAGCCTGTATAAAGGTTTTATTCAATTCCTATCAAATAACTTTAACCAAATATCATACGTGTGTGTGTGTGCGTGCGTGTGTGTGTGTGTGTATGTGTGTGTGTGTGTGTGTGTGTTACTTTTATCAACAATTATTAAAAAATTTTCAATTTGATTTCACCGCGATATCGATGATGATGATTTTGACCTGACTGATTAAAAAGCATCAATGAAAATTTTTAAAATAGGATGGAAAATTTGTTATATTGGGATATTCGTATATAAAGCGAGCAAAAGTTTAATATAAAAGCGCTTATAAATCTACGCATATTGGCTCAGCTTGGCTCGTCTTGAAATTGGATGTTAAGCTAGGTGTGTTCTCAAACAATTTGGAATTCTCTCAGAAAAATTTGAACTGCGTGCGCACATATGTAGCACTGATTACTGTTGCTTCAATAATGAATTTATATACTATATATATGAAGCGAGCAAAATTTGAATATAAAAGCGCTTATAAATCTACGCATATTGGCTCAGCTTGGCTTGGCTCGGCTTGGAATTGGATGTTAAGCAAGGTGTGGTCTCAAACTATTTTGAATTCTCCCCGAAAAATTTGAACTGCGTGCCTACATATGTAGCATTGATTACTGTTGCTTTTATAAAGAATTTATATAATATATATATATATATATATATATATATTAATTTTAATATATATATATATATAAATTAACTAGAATCGATGTATACAAATAATTAATAAGATTATATGTTTATATAAAAAGCAATATAGCAGATTCAACCAGCCAATCAGAAAGTTTCGAAGGCGTTCGATCGTTGACGTCAATTTAGTACGGTTAGCATTGTTGTTAAGACTGTATAATAGTGTACTACATACATTAAAAAAGTTTTTTACTGATGTGAATGATTGAAATGATGAGAATGTATTGTTGAAACGAGTATAAATAGGAGTTGAGACAGCACGAAAATCAGATCAGGCATTCTGCCTCGCTTAAGGCTCGAAGCGGTCTGCCTGATCTCATTTATTTTATTTTTTATTTATTTATTTTATTATATAGAGTTATATAGAGTTGCGCGGGCTATATATGTTTGTCTGTGGCTTGTATGTTTGTATTTTGTATTTTTTTAATTTTAGGTGGGTTCTTTAGCGGTTACTCATACATACATACATACATCATGTTTGTTTGTGTGGTAATATTTTATGTTCTGTTTTACTTCTTTTTCTCTTTCTTCATGAGTCTTGAGTTAAGTTAATGAAACATAGGTAGGTGAGATTGAGATTAATTTATTATATAGGTAGGATAGGGCATAAGGTAATTTAGTTACATAGGTAGGTTAGGGACTTTTATTCTTTTACTCTACTTGGTGGTGTGTTTTTTGTTTTGTGTGTTTTTTTGTTTTGTTTTACACCATACATATAACAGGTACGCGGTGGTTCCTGGTTTTAGTGGGATTTTTATTATTGATTGAATGTGGTAGTATGCATGGTTATATAGAGTTATATAGAGTTATATAGAGTTATATAGAGTTATATAGAGTTATATAGAGTTATATAGAGTTATATAGAGTTATATAGAGTTATATAGAGTTATATAGAGTTATATAGAGTTATATAGAGTTATATAGAGTTATATAGAGTTATATAGAGTTATATAGAGTTATATAGAGTTATATAGAGTTATATAGAGTTATATAGAGTTATATAGAGTTATATAGAGTTATATAGAGTTATATAGAGTTATATAGAGTTATATAGAGTTATATAGAGTTATATAGAGTTATATAGAGTTATATAGAGTTATATAGAGTTATATAGAGTTATATAGAGTTATATAGAGTTATATAGAGTTATATAGAGTTATATAGAGTTATATAGAGTTATATAGAGTTATATAGAGTTATATAGAGTTATATAGAGTTATATAGAGTTATATAGAGTTATATAGAGTTATATAGAGTTATATAGAGTTATATAGAGTTATATAGAGTTATATAGAGTTATATAGAGTTATATAGAGTTATATAGAGTTATATAGAGTTATATAGAGTTATATAGAGCATAAATCCTATATAGATACCTTTTTTGAGGTTCTTTCCTTTGCCGACCGGTCGGCTTCTTTGCGTTTCTCTATTTTCATTTTAATTAATTAAATAAATAAGATTTTTTCCATTTAGGTTCATTCAGGTTCATTCATTCAGGTTGAAGCTTCCAGAGGAGTTTATCGTGGACGATCAGAATGGTTGTGATGTCACGCTTCGTTCGTTCATTCGGTGGCAAAGAATGCACGCCCTGCTGGAGTACGTTTTACGGTTTCTTTGCGTTTCTTTTTTTGCCAGTTGTCTGGCTTTTCCGGCGGAATTCACCGCGGCTCGTTTTATTATTTTAATTTAAATTAGTCAAATAAGATTTTTCCATTTCATCCATTTTATTCAGGTTGAAGCTTCCAAAGGAATTCATCGTGGAAGATGTCAGGCTACGTTCGTTCATTCAGTGGCAAAGAAGATACGCCTGGCTGGGATACGTTTTATTCTTTTTTCTCTGTTTTTCTCTGTAATTTAACATTAAGTAAGAATGCTCACACGCACACGCACATACACACAATTACATTAAGTAGCTATATAGGTAGGTTAGATAGGCATAATTTTAATTGTAGGTAGGATAGATAGGAAGCATCCAACACTAATGTAGTTGAATAGGTAGGCAGCGTAATTTTATCTCTTCTATTTTTTCTCGCACCCACATTACACGCATCAGCGTATTATACACACACACACAAATGCATACATAAACACATATTAGTATTTGAGCGTTATTTTATTTTCATTACACATTCTAATTTATTATTACTAAGGTTGAGAGTAATTTAATTTCATAGGTAGTTAAAAGCAATAATTTAATTCTAGGAACAATCTTGTAATTTAAATTAAATAAACGCTTTAAGTGTATCGAGAGGTAAGTTAGTTATTAAGTTTTACATTATTATTATTAGGTTGGAGCCCAAGGCATTACGTAGGTGGTGGGGTGGGTGCCGAAAGGCCAATGAATTGGGCTCTTGAGTTTTGTAATTTTAGGTAGGCTAGGACCATAATGTAATGAATAGGTAAGTTAAGGCTACGTTGTAACACATACTCATTAATAGATTTAGGGTTTAAGTTTTATATTATTATTACTAAGTTGGAGCCCAAGGCATTACGTAGGTGGTGGGGTGGGTGCCGATTGGCCAATGAATTGGGCTCTTGAGTTTTGTAATTTTTAGGTAAGCTAGGGCTTAATTGTAATGAATAGGTAAGTTGAGGGTACGATAGCCGATAGACTTTGAATTTCAAAGTCCCTTGTCAGAGGTAAGCCTTGGTGGCCAGTGGTGAACCGGCAATGGTTTACTATCCGGACGGCAATGGTTTACTATCTGCACGGTAATGATTTACTATGCGGCACGGCCATAGTCTACTACCCGCACGGCATCCGGACGGCAAATGGTTTACTATCCGCACGGCAATAGTCTACTATCCGCACGGCAATGGTTTACTATCCGGTGCCCTGGCTGTCGGTGAGCCTCTGTGCAAGGATGGAGAATGAAGGGGGACTTTCGACTATCGTACCATTAATAATTTAATATTAATTAGCTAAAGTAATTAAATAGGTAGATAGGATTATTTTTATTAAGCAATTTGAGATGCAGGCACCGCTAAGCTTTCTGATGAGAATCTTCTGTTTATCTTTCTCCATCAACACGGGCTGTGTTTCAACAACAATCTCGAGGAGGACTGGCACCAGTTTTGGAAGACAACGTAGGAACCGGAAAGCATTCAACATTCTGCCTTTGTCGAATGGACGACGGTAAGTTTTTTTTTACATTTTAATCTCTTTATTATTTTCAGTTATTATTTATTTGCCATCATTTTCATTTTTTAATTTTTTGCTTCTAAGATTCAAACATTTAGTTACTGCTACGCTAATAAAAAATTGTCTACAGAATTATGAGAGGTGGGCAGTGGTGGGAGTCAGCACGTTTCAGATGGTGGTCTCATGATGATTTACGTATGATGATATGGTGTAGGAAGAACCAGCGCTTTGGCTGTTCGACTGACACTCAGAAGTTCGGATGAAATCTTATGTGCCGATCTGAATGTGGTGGTCGGTGCAATGGATTAAAGTAACGACGATTTTTGAAGTAAGGTTTAGTTTCGTTTTTTTTTTATTTTTCTCATTCATTCATTTTTTCCCTCAATCTTTCAAATTATTCTTCCATTAATTGACGTTAATTCATTCTATTCATTCATTCATTCTTTTAACTATTTAATTATTCAGTTCATCATTTATTCGTTCGTTCCTTTGTTCCTTGATTTACTACTAAGCTAATAAAAATAACTTTTCTACAGAATGATGAGAGGTGGGCTGTGGTGGACGTCAGCACGTTTTAGATGGTGGTCTCATGATGATCGTTCCGATGACAATTTGAAGAAAACAAAAACGAAGATTTTTGAAATATGGTTTAGTTTTTTTTTATTTTTTTCATTTATTTTATCATTATCTTTCAAATTATTCCTCCACTAATTGATTCATTCTATTCATTCGTTAAATCATTTATTGATTGATTAATTAATTATTCATTCATTCAACCAATCATTCAGTTAATCATTTATTCGTTCGTTCTTTTTTTCCTTGATTATTTACCAACACGCTAATTAAAAAAAACTTGTCTACAGAATGATGAGAGGTGGGCTGTGGTGGGCGTCAGCATGTTTCAGATGGTGGTCTCATGATGATCGTTCCGATGACAATTTGAAGATAAAAGAAAATTTGTTCTTGTACCATCGTACCATTGAAAGTACTCGAATTTGTCATCTCAATAAGATAAGTTGCCTTTTTTTCCAATGGCTTGTTTTCTACTTTTAAGCATTATTTTTTTTTTCAATTTAGTGTTTTTCAGTATCCGGTCAAATTCATTCCATCGATGCGTGTCAGATGATGGTCGGTGCAATGGAGGTTCGTCCGTAGTGAGTGAAGAAGTTTTGGGAGAGTACACGCCTGCACATTTACACACACACATCAATAAAACACACACATACACAACATCCATTCATTCGGTGTCGTTGTTGTTATGTTTTTCTTCAACTTTCTATTTTCTTTACCAGACTTAATTTAATTCGTAGGTAAGTTAGGGATTGAGATTAGTTGAACAATCGTAGGTAGGCTAGGGCTTAACATTAGTTAAAAAGTTTCAAGTAAAATAAAAACGCTGAAATATGTAAAATAAAATACCTAAAACATGTAAAATTCCAAAAACGTAGAAAAACATATTTGTAGGTAGGTGAGTTGAGTTAATGATTATAAGTAAGCTAGGGCCCTGAGAGTAATTTAATTGTAGGTAGGTGACTGACTACTATTCTTGCGACTTTTTACTAGTTTTTTGTGGTGTGTTTGTTTTCGCTTCACAGCCCCACACCAACAAAACAAACTACATTTTATTCTCGTCGTCGCCTTAAATTTTACCTTTTTGAACAATCTTTTTAATAATGTCTATTTATTTATTTAATTATTTATTAAATGTTGACTGCTTTCTAGTTTTTTTAGAATTTGGTTATATAATTTTTGGATATTTCTTGATTTAATAAAAGCAACTATTGTGTTTTTCTTTCTCTACTAAAATCTCGAAATTGTTTGTAGATCTGTACAGTTAAGTGTTTGTTCGAGTTTGAACAAGCCTTGCAAATATTTTTCAAATATGGTTCATTAATTGGTCGATTGGTTGGTTGATTAGTTGATTGAATGAATGGTTGGTTGATTGATTGGTTGATTGATTGATCTCATAGTATTGTATATATGAAAAAAAATCCGATTAAGTCAAAATACGGCTTTACTTGGCCACTGTATTTTACCAGACAAAAGCAATTTCTTGATATTGACAAAAATAATTGTGAAATGAATATATTGACTTATTTAAAGCATTATATGTAAAGAAAACCGCCATGACACTGTCGTATGAGACCCAGTAAGCCACTGCAGTAGCCAACGTATGATTTCAGCAACCATAATTTCTATGAGCACCAGCAAAATGTAAAATATTCATTGAATATAATGAAGATAGTTGTTCAAATAACAATTTTGATCTATTTAGGTCGTTTATTTCATGAGCAAACAAATTTTTAACATGATCGAATAGTGTAAAAAAGGGTGACTTTAGTTCAATCCTACTAAGCCAACCTTCGGCTTCAGTAAAAAGCCACCGGATTTCACAGGACCAAAAGTATAATTTTTATATTCAAATTAACAACAATAATTTAATAATACATAATTTTATTTAATAAAATTAAAGAGAATTACTACAATGTTTTAAGCATATTAAGTCAAGTAAATATTTTATATAGCTTGCTCGTTAAAATCCCTGCAATTTCGTAAGCCAATAATCCAAGCATGTCAAATAGCCCGACTCTTGACTCAAACGATAATAAATCACCTTCCAAATCTCTTCCGGAAGTAAGCTCCTTGTTCGACCGTTAAAAGTGAGCGAAGGCCGTTATATTTATTTTAGTTGTGCTAAGAACCGATGTAATTCTGGTTTAAACATAAATTTTATGTAAAAACATCGGGTGAAGAATACTAAAGGCGGTTTCTACATTAAATGACTCAAAGGAATTGAAACAAAATAGCTTATCTAAACGTAAAACAAGCGCTAATAACCCGAGCCCAAACTGCTGGTAACCTCATATCATATCGGCGTTAGTTAAGTTACAGAACCCACAGGAATGAACATCGTTCCAGATGAGTTCTAGCGGTCGTAAAACGAACAAGACTGAACACCAGATGACCAATCAAAATTTCATTACTTTAATGGTTAAAAAAAACTTTGTTCATTCTTTACACCATCAACACTTAACGAACAAACAGTAAAAGAATTATCAAAGAAACAATTAGAATTAAAACGTCAATAAGAATAATAACAGCAATAATAATAGTAATAAGAAACAAGAAAAGTTATCAATCTTCGTTCCACTCAAAAGGTTCAAATGGTTCGGGTTCAACCTCATCTTCCGGCTTCGGACCTCCAGTTTCTACTAATTCAATAATGACTTCAGGTTCTTGTGGTCGTGCATTTTTTAGCATTATAATGCCGCCAACTGATACATCTTTTAAAGGAATATAACGAGAGCCTGCTGGCATCGATAAGACTTTGAGCTGTAAAAAATCAGTTTACTTTATATTAATTTTTATCCAAAACATTATTTGAAAACACGTCATACATACATATTGATAAACAAAAAAGAAATATTCTTGAAAAAGAAATATAAACGTTAATAAAGAATATAAAACAAACTTGAGCCTTCATGATTCTAGCAGGGTTGGCCAGCATCTCAAAATTTGGCTCAGCCTCTTTCTTCTTGGTTGATGTTTCATCTTCTTTCTTGGCCCCCTCATCTTCTTTTTTGTCTTTCGATTTATCATCTTCCTTTTTAGTTTCTTTGCTTTTTTCTGTATCTTTTTTATCTTCATCCTAAATGACGTAAATTTAAATCAAAATGTGAAAGTATCTTGAAGGTCACCATCAAACTATGGGCAATGAAATTGCAAACAATTACAGAAATGAATTTCCGTAAGACAAACACAATTAAACTAAGATGACGTCTTGATATACATAATAATTTAGACAGAGGACAGATCAATAAACTCAAGCAAAAGCACACAACAAAACGAGTAACAATAATCTACTAACAACTTCCATTTTTTCCTCTTTCTTCTTATCACCAGCAGTGCCTTTCCTTTTCTGCTGCTTTGCAGTTATGCTCAACACAGCTGTCTCCACTTTCTCCTTGTTCTTGTCTTTTTTTTCCTCAAGATTAGGTGGGTATGCAAAAATGGATGGTTTAGCATTGGATTTAAAATCCAAGACTGGCATATTCAAATCAGCATTCAGTCCAATGAGAGCCGTAGATGTCAGGGCTAACGATAGAAAATGCGTCAACGGGTACCAGTACCAGAACTGCAGGAAGATGAGGAGGCCGATGACAGCTACCATGTTTGTGTGGCCCGTTCGACTCTGCAGGTTGATTGTTGTGTTGCGACCGCCTGCATCAATTATTCCTTGAGCCAGGATGGCACCAAACTTGGCCATCACATCTTCATGCTTGTCTGATATGACCTAAGTGCATTACAAATATTTTGTTCGTCTAACCTAGTAGAAACATTTGATGGCACAAATAAATTATAAATACAAAAATTAAACAATAAAAATTGTGAACGATAGCTAATGACTCTTGAATAGTGTAATTCTTAAAAAAAACTCAAAAATAAAACGACAAACCTTAGCATACAACTGCCTATAATGTGAAACTTTTGGACAAGTATTGTCGTTATGTTGTATGAGGATGAGAGCAGAAGCAATGAGAGCTCCCTGCCTTACGTAGTTCACCGGGTCGTTCGTCAGAGGTTCAAGGAGTACAAGAGCTTCTTTCAGACCAGTGCCTGCACATGCCACACCCAGAGCCATTGCTGAGCCATATCTACACCAGAAAAAAGTACAAACAATTATTCATTAACTCATGTTACGTTCATTTTGAAAGCTGCAAGTTTTTATAAAGCGTAAAACACATTTCAACAAATACTACCATAGAGATGATTAATGTGAAACACAAAAAGCAATGTTCAAAACATCTATCAGTATATTACAAATTTTAAGGACGTTTGATCCAAAGAGGATCTGACAGAAGAGGATTTTCTTGAATGTATGGAAGTATCAAAAAGAGCAAAAAGAGCTGTAAGAATAGAAGAAGAATTTGGGCAAAGTGGGGAATTGGATGTAGAAAAAGTATTATCTAATATCACATCTACTGTTCACAAGGTCTCTATGAAGAGGAAGAAATAAAGTTATAAAATCAGTCGAGAAATAGATGGCTGACGTTAGCAGATACGATTTGGATGGAAATGTCGAAACCAAAAAATAGCAAAATTAACATATAAATAAATAAAGTTTACAGTGAACTCAACTGACCTGACATGGGGATTGAAACTCTCAGACAACAAAGATACAATACCAGGACACTGCTCAGGTACCCTGAACAGCAAAAATCCTAATGACGTAACAGCAGCTCTGCGCACATCATCACTGACGTCACTGACTGCCATGTGCAACAACTGTTTGACGGCACCATTGTTGCCTGTACCGCAGTAAGCCATCGCTATGCAGTAAGCAGCACACCACCTGATCAACACAACATAATGTAATCTTTTCTTACCGAATAAGTAAATTTAAATATTCAAATTTACGCAAATAACTTTAAGCCTAGGCGTTTTCATTATTTTGAAACTACGTCATAACAATACTTTTCATTAAAATTAAATCAAATCAACACATAAAAAGGTTGCAACAAAGTGAAGAAATATAAAATTACGAATTCATTAAATTTTGAACCTCAGGATTGAATCCTTATCAGAGGATAGTTCCTGTATCCAGCCATCGGCATCCTCTAATCTGCCGTACTGCAGCAGTGCAATGCCGATCGCAAGTCCTCTCATGATCTTCTCGTGTTGCGTGTCACGTGCGTATGTTATCATGTCAGATGCAGCGTTCGTGGAACCCGTGCCCAACATCACCAGACCCATTGCTATTCCTGCTGCTTCACCTGGCGAGATGATGAGATGATGAAAGGTTGATGTTTACAATCTTAAATTCCTTTTTCTTTACCTCTTTGCTGTCTTAATACATGCACACACACACACACACACACACACACACACACACACACACACACACACACACACACACACACACACACACACACACGTACACATACACGCACAGACAGAAAAACACATACAGAGAACAGACAAGTTAGATGGATACGTAAGTAGCACACATACACACCTGTAACAGCATCATCTTGGAAAAGATTGAGTTTGAGTTGTTCGTAGATGTCATCTCGTGATGTTCCCATAGCTGCAAGTCCAAGACCCAAACAGGCCCCATGTCGTATGGCATCTGACGTCATTGTAATCATAGTGATCATTCATATGTTGTCAGCGTAAAGTTGGTGAGGTTATTAACATAAAGGTAGTTGAGATCATTAACACAAAAGTGGTTAAGATTATTGACACAAAGATGAACAATTGTCACGGAGATAAAGATGTCCCTACAGAAATGATCAACCACAATTATCAAAATAAAAGTGGTAGAAGCAGAAAATGGGATTGCCACAACAAAAAATGTAATCATAATAAACAATTGGAGTGACAGACGTTGGAGTTGTGATGAAAATAAATATGATATGAATCAGGCATGGTCAACAGTTTCGATTTATGGGCTAGAAAAATTTTTCATTTCCAAGCACTGACTGATTGATTGAAGTACGCCATTTAAAAAAAATAATAGAAAAAGAAAAAGTGCAAGCGGGATAAAATCATTAAGCGGACCGGGCCTGATATAAACGATGGGAAAAGTTGAACAGACCAGTAACTGCTTCTTTGGATTGGTTGAGTAGGTACTCTGTAATTTCACCTCCATGATTGGCATGAATCAAACCTGATTGGTGATACGTTGGTGATTATTGAATGGTGACCAATCGGTAATTGATTGGTGACCAATTGATGATTGGATGGTTGGTTAGCTTAGTATTAATAACAGCTACATCAACAACATATCAAAATCATCAAAAAATCAACCAACCGAGAGCATAGAGACCACCCCCTTCAGAGTAGGCTGATCCGGGGCCAGAATCTTTTGGGAGGTAGGTAGACATGAGACGAAGGGCCTCCTTCTCATGACCCTGACATTGTTAACATTGAAATTAATTCTTTAGGCATCACCCTGACCATCATATTAACATTTTTATAATCACCATTCTTTAGTACATAAATTTTCTTCTACCACATCAGCGATATAATTCTCACCACTACTATACTGAAGCATGCAGACCTTATGTATGGTGCCGAGACTCGCCGTGGCAGTGAACTTTGCCCAGTTCGTGGCTCTACCCAACCAATCCAAGTTGTCCCTAAGAAATGATGGTTATGTGGTTAATGTATTTTAAAAATTACTCTTGCAACTGAAAATAATTTAATGTAAGATAGACGTGAATCATTTATGCATATTCTCAATAGTTTGTGACTATCTATAAAAATAATTCAAAAAGGTTATTGAAAAGGAGAACCTTAAAAACTGATCACACGTTGTACCACAGTGCATGAACGAGTTGGCAATCACTGTGGCATTGTGGCAGATGGAGTTTCTTATGACATCCTGTTTTTAGATTGTTGTGTGGTATGTGGTGTCGTGTGACGTGTGGTGGCGCGTCGTTACGTCGTCAGCCACCGCTATTGTCAACATCCAATAATAATCATTAAAATTTTAAAAGTTACATTGAAAGTTGCACGCCACAGTCAAAATTGTGATTCCCAAATAGCAAGAAATTCTGAGATAATGAAATAAATATCAAACAACGAGAATGTTAATAAACAATACTTAAAAATTACCATCCAATCATTTGATGTGTATATTCAATTACATGCCTATAAAAATGCATCATTATAACCGCCACAAGTTGTACAAATATATTCATGTATAATACATTCCAACACCCTATATCTATTTATTATGTTTTAAATACTACAAAACACCTGAATGTAGCCCATCCAACCTTGGTATTTTTGAGTACAAGACCGTCGGTTTTGTTCGTCTTGATAAGAAACTGCAGATGTAAGGAGATTGTGACATCCCCGTTCAAGATAGAGAGCAACTTTGTCATGCGTTCCTTCACGGCCTTGTCGCACTCGCACTAGAGTTAACGTGAGGTTGATGGCGACAATGAGGTCGAATTTTAACCCAACATTTGAAATGATTAATGAAAGCGAAAAATAATTAATTCATTGTACAGTTTAAATGACACTAAATAGATAAACAATATTATCTATCTGATATGGACTCATTTAAATCCACTAACTCAATATAAAATAAAATTAATTATTAAATTTATTGTGAAAACGATCAACTGACCTCAGCTGGGGAGAACTTTGCTGGCTTGAAGAAAAAAAAATATCAAGAAAATAATTAAATAAAACTCTATTAACGAATATTTTCATGAGTTACTTACTCATTATTAATCAAACAACATCTAAAAACTCTATTAAAGAATATTCACTTTTAATCAAAAAATACTTAAACAAATTTATTATTGAATATTAATTATTAATCAACCAATATCTGAAAAATTCTCTGGCAACCAATTAAAGTCCACATCCATTTGCCCAGAAATAACGACACACAACCATGAAAACAAAACAATAACACAACGAGAGCGACACAGAGATACTAACTACGACATCATCAACTTCCATGGCACTGAATGGTGAAGAAAATATACCAAATGAAGATAAACGCAATTTCAATAATTATGAACTATATAACAAGAAAGAGTATTTAAATTGTTTGGATGACAAAAATCAACTGACAAAGCCTAAAAAGAGCTACAGCAATGAAGTAACAATAAATTAAAACTTGATAAAGACTAAACAGCACAAAGGAGTATAAGTATGTACTTTTCTGTTATAATAATATTAAATTAAGTTTTTGATAAATTAAATTTGTGTGTTTTTAAATAGGGGAAGTGTACATTGTGCGAATGGGGGAATGAGTGTGTTGAAAATATTGCAGATATGTTTTAGGGAAGGTATATTAGTGTTGACTGTTGGTATGTGTACGTTGTAACCAGTGTGTGAATGTATTGTCAAAGGCATATTGGGTGGGGAAGGTGTGGAAATATTTGATCAATTCTAACATGTTTATTTCAAACTTAATTTTTGGTTGTTTCTGTTGCTTGTTTTGTATAATTGTTATGGAGATTCATTTACGTTCATTTACAAATTTCTTTTGGTTTTATGATTTTTTTCTATATATAGTTTGGCAAGGAGCTTAGCCCGTGCTCATATTCATTATTAATTAATTAATTAATAAAAAATTTCTACATCATAAAACACATCAACGTACTTATCATCATCAACTTTCACGCCATTAACAGTGGATGCAGCTGCTGCAGCAGACGTGGTTGCTTCACTTGATGCTGTTGTTACAGATAAATTACTAAGAGTAGCAGAAGCAGTTACCGCACTGGCAGAAGCATTTGCTGACGTAGAAGTAGCTGTTGTAGTAGCAGCAGTACTGGATGGCACTGCAACAGCAGCAGCAGCAGATACAGCAAGTCCGGCAGAGGTAAGTCTAAGGGCACCTTGAACTCGTTGCAAGAACTGCTGGGTGGCACTCTCGTACAAGTCAAAGCCAATCTGGTAGGCCATGACTGCAGATTCCTATAGGTGATGGAGATATATTTGTTGAAAGATGATTTTGACTAATGACAATTATAAATATTTAATACATTTTAATTGTTGAATTATCGGATAACACATTTGAAAAATTAATTAAAGTTTACCTCATTTTTTTGAATCAGCTTTTCTAGAATGGTGGCAACCTCCATTGGTTGGTCCAAAAATATCAAGCACTTCAAAATTATTTATACAAAATTATTTTGATAAAGTTATTTTGACAAATAAACCAACAAAATTCATATATAATGATTATCAACATTTCTAAAAAAAAGAAAACGCATTAATTCATAAAAACAAAATAAGACTAATACAATCAGTTTTTACAAAATGCACACCGGAAGCACTCAAACAGTGAATAATAGTGGGTATTCAAGAAGCTTACCTGACAAACACTGATGTAATCGGGGACTGTAAGATTCTTATAGAGGTTCACCAAGGAATTCAGTACAATGTCTCGAAATCGTCTGCTCTGAATAAGCGAGAGGCTTACTTTGAAGGTGTACAACAGCATGCCAGCAACATCATCCTGTAGGTTGTCAGCAAAATATTTGATACCTAACAACATTATACAATACATGATACAAGATACAACACGGTACAATGCAACATATCAATTATGATAAAATGTGACAGAAAAAATGTGATTCTTTAACAAATCAATGTATCTGTCCTAATATAAAATATAAACATTCAGGATGAAGATAAAGGAAAAAAAACCATTGACTCACAGACTCCAGTATGGCCTTCTCAAATATGTCCATCCTCCTACACTCTAGTGCAATACCCACAGCCTGCATTTAGAAATGCAAAACACATTAAAACACAAAACAACAACAACAACACACGTTTAGACGACATTTTCCCCGAGATCGGGGGTTGCCGTTTGGCTACCTATGATGAAACTTCTGTCATCATAAGTAATTTATTTGGCTAATTTTTACGCGGGACGCCCCCTTCCTTATGCAACCACAGTTATAAGCGGTGGGCCTAGCCTTTGATGATCCAATATCACTCACAAGGCAGTGAGGGTCAGTTTAATGTCATAACCAGGACAACACAAAACAAGTATTAAATGAATTGAAAATTAACAATATCGGATCGTGATTAAAATTATATCAAATCATATTTTAAAAATTCAAACTAAAAAACAGGAATACTTGTTTGTACTGTTTGTCATCAAAGCACCTCTTGAACATCTGATCGACCACCCCGACCAAATTGTTGTCAATCATCTTCGCTGACGTCAAAGCTGTACTTTCAGCGTCCTGCACCCTCTGTTTGATGTACAGGTCGATGCACTTCTCTGTCAGGTGAGGATTTTTTTTACAATCAGGTGACGGAGAATAAAAATGATATCCTAAGCATTATTAATTACACATGATCATTCATTAAATACACATCCTTAATCTTATTCTAAAAATGAAATAAAATTTATAAAAATCATTTTCCAGGTCTAATCCTACCATCACCTTCTCGAACAAAATATTGAATGTATAAAAAAACATACATCACTTTAATGGCCAACAGGCAATATTTTAATCAGAAAGCGCAAAATCAAAGGAGAGAATTTCAGAGAGACTAACCAACAATGGTTTCCACATACTCTGTTGAGTCATGGACATTGAACTTCTTACCAGCACATAATGCATATGAGACTGATTCATCAAACGCTCCCAAATGATAATACACCTGTTTCATTTGGCAACAGTAAATATAATAATTATTTATTACACTTACAATATCATCAAAAATAATACAATAGTAATTATTTATTAAACATAATCAATCACACAAAACCTTTGAAGCAACAAGTGCAGCTAAATCTCGATGTTTAAATGCTGAATCCTCATAGATCACTTCTCTGTAGAGCAATGATTGTCAAATGATATATTAAGAAAAATAGAATTTTTACAAATATATGTGAATGGATTGCACAAATGACAGTAAAAATCAAAAAAATAATACAAAAAACAGATGGAACAAAAAATTCAAACGGATCTAGAACTGGGAAGTAATGATAAAACAGAGTCACTTACATTTTGGTGACATATTCAGAGATTTCATGCCAAAATATATCAACCACTTCATTCAATCTTCCTAATGCAAACAGCTACAAAATTATAAGATATCATAAAATGATTAAATGAAGCAATTTTAATTATTCTATCAATTAAATTTAACTTATTTATAATTGAATAAATAATTTAATGGTTAGTTAAAACAATTCAAGAATAATTTTTATAGAATATAAAATAAATAAACTACAGACTTTAACTTCTGGATCACGCTCATCCAGCAAGGCTATTATTCCAGCTGCAAATTTCAAAGTTACATTTTTTAATTATAAAATAAAAAAATATCAAAATATGTATTAAAATATATGGTTTAGTTTTAGTTTGTAATATAATTATGTCTGAAATAAACTTTAACTTAAAATTAAAAATAAGCCTTATTTAAAAAAGCTAAAGGTCAAAAATTAAATTTTTTAAAGTATTGCTCTGCTTGTGCATTGTATTTATAATTTTATTTTATGTTTTTTATGCATAGGAAAAAGGCCATCATGATTCAGCAGATTCAGATTGCTCATCACCAAACACGGAAAATAATGTTATCAAACTGGTTATATAATCAGCACCATCTATCAGTGACTTCTATACAAAAAACACAAGCTGGAGATTTCTTTTCATCTCCCAGTACTACTATAACAATGTTTGTAGTGTAATTCAACTGAAAAATTTGATTCAAGCAAAAATGAAAAACCAAAAAACAAACCAGCCGAAGTTAAATTAATTCTCATGTTCACAAGATTATTAGCTTGAAATTACTTTCAGTTATTTCAAACAAAACAGAAATTTCAAAATTGTAAAAAACAGCAAATCACGAAAACAACGGAAGCATTAACGTAGGTTTATCTAAATACCGAAAAATAATTTTAAATGTTAATTTAAATACGATTGCTTTTTGCTGCACCAATGAATGATGGGATGGGAAGAATGACACACTTAGAATACCTTTAAACTAGCATGGGCACAATTATTGTAAATATATTAAAAATATAAAATATTTTAAAATGTTTGTATTTTTTATAGCATAATTTTGATGAATTATTTAACATTATCATCCACTAGGCCATTTGGCAAACCAGATTTTTTATGGTTATTGTTTAAATATTTAAAGGTAGTTTCACTTTTAGCTGTTGATTTCTACGTAAATACCTGTTGTGCATTTGCTTAACTTTTAGTTAGTTTTAACAAAGATGGACTTTTAACAGTTTTAATTTTAAAGTTTGATTTTTTCGTCCTTTTTGATTTCTGAAATTTTGCGCTAATTCGCCTCATATCATTGTTCTACAAATCTTCCTTTTGGCAAAGTGAAAAATTTATTTAATTTCAATTCACCTTTTACATGAAGCTTGAGCTCTTTTTTTAATTGATTGCAGATGCAATGCTTTATTTTATTTTATATTTATGATTAATTAATAATAATTAATTAATTTGCTTGCAGCCTGGTCGATCAGTGAATGTGAACAATCAGTCTCCTTTTCTCTTTCAGTTTTTCAACTCATAAATAAAATCTACCCAGATTACTGATCAAATCAGTGCACTGAATAGTACATGCACAGTACAGTACACAGTATAGTATACTGCACTTTTAATATTAATTCTTGACTTATCCTGTATAATTAATAGTACTAATTATCACTGAGACAAAACTTCAAAGAAGAGTAAAAAGTTTCTGAGACTGAAGAATTGGAAAAGGAATCAGTGGGAGTCAGTCATTCATATTCATAGCATCGCATTTCATTACACATTACTACAGATTACAATACAGATTACATTACTCAACTGAACCAATCAATCTCTTGGGGATAATAATATAATAGTAAATTAAGTATTTAAATGTAAACATTTCAACAAAATAAAAAGACGACAACAATTAGAGTACATTTACTAAGTTTTAAAAAGGCTTTACAAATTTCAAGATTGCCTTCAAGAACCACTTTATAAAATTTATTAATCAAAATTTTTAATTAATAAAGTAAAACAGAGCAATGAGATGGTCTCTAAATAAATTGAATATTGAATAAATAGTCTGTTGTTTGGAATTAGTTAAATGAGTAATGCAAAAGAAAAAGTTATTTATTTGGTTCATCTTATCCGTGGCTTTGTATCAGTTGATTTTTAACAATTTCTTCTATGGATTGCTTTTTCCTGAAAAGGTTAGATTACAGTTAAAAATATTTTCATTCTATACTAGGTAATCTTCAACATTTATGCCACCAAAGTAACTCTAACCAATATTTATTCATTTTAAAACTTAATCGATATTATTAATTTTTTTTGGGATAGGATAAGCTCTAAGGGAAATAAATTTAAATATTGAATAAAAAATTTCATTTAAATAAATGTATTTTGTCATATTATTAAAAATTACTAATATTTTATGAACTGTATTTCCATTCCAATGATGTTTTGAAACGATATAATTAATTACAAGTTAATTTACATTAAAGAAGAAAAATTTTTTAAATTTTTTGGGATTTAATTTTTATCAGTTTTTTGGTTTAAAGAAAATCTCACCTCATCAATTCTCATATAAATCTGTTTATTTACTTGACAAATTGACAGAATGAAAAAGAACTAGCTCTAAGTGAAAATGTTGAAACCAACGAGACACTCAAATATATCTTATCCGATGTTGGCGTTGCTGAAATTCATCCCGATGAGAACGATGGTCTTTTATTTATTCCATATTTTTTATCACTAATAATAATTAATTCAGGCTGCTGCTTTTTAAAAATTCTAAATTAAAATGCTATCATTCTGTTTTGCTCTAATAAATATTTTCGAATTAGAATTAAACAATTTAGGCGTCATCTCATATGTCTTCAATTATATGTTATTATTAATATTATGAACTATATTTTGTACATTTTATGCCATTTTAACATTGGATTGATGAAAATTTTTACCCCAGTATTCCCAACATATCCAATTCGACGAAATCCCATACCATATCCCAAGTATCCCATTCCAGTTCTTGTGTTAGCTTGCAACAGGATTGGTGTCAAGAGGTCTCTAGATGCCATCATCAAGTTAGGTGGCATCCATTCCACTAAGTTGGAGATCTGCCTTGGGTAGAAAATATGTGATGAACTTAGAGAAAAATTTTAAAAATTTGCAACAAATATTTATCTGTGACAGAAATTTTTGGTTATGTGAAAATCTTCATCACAATATGATGTACAGCTCAATGTATTAAATTAGTGTTTGTTCAAGTTTATAGCTAATGATGCAAAAGGTTTTAAATTTTTATGATTCGGTTTTGTGCATCCATCCAGGGCAGATCTCTGATTTTGCCATGTTTATTTCACAAAATACTGCCTGTTGAATTTTAGTTAAAATCCTGTGTTTAATGATCCATCTGTTGTTTAACTTTTTGTTTTCCAGCTTTTTTCCACCATTATTATTTTTATTCTTACATTTTTTTAAAATTTTTTATTTACTCTGGTTAGTTGATAGAGTTAATGTTAGGAGAGTTAAACAGTTTTTTGTTCATATATTGAAATTAGACAGTTTCGTTTTGTTATTTTTGTTAAAATAGATTGATTGTTAATGTTTCTATCTGTGTATTTTATATTGATTTGATGACTTTTGCTTTAATGTATACCAACTGATATTTTTCATACTGTGTCGTACAATTTAACACTTTATGACTTTTCTGTCTCTCTCTTTCTCTCTCTTTCTCTGTCTCTTCTATTATTAATTAATTATGTATCCATGTATATTAGAAGATGAAATATTATTCTCTAAACGTTTTTATCAGATTATTTAACCGTTGTTTTTTTTATCTCTGTGTGATATTAACTATTTTTTGTTATCTTTTTCAAACTATCCATTCAACCAACCAACCAACCAGCCAATCAACCAACCAACCGGCCAATCAATCAACCCTTCTATCAATCAACCGACCAGTCAATCATCCAGCCAACCAGTCAGCCAATCATATTCTACATCATGATAACCAACCAACCAATCAGGTACCGACCATCGAGCACCCTCTTCCCTCTGATTGTTTCTCAAGATTGTGATGATGAACCGACCAAGAAGATCATTCTATCATACGAAGGAGTTGTCTACTTGAAGGTTTTTTTTGCGTTATTCTCTCTTTAGGGTAAGGTCTTGGGTTCATAACTGACAAGATGATGCTTCGTTTAGCATGTAGGTCGTATACGATGTTTCTTGCGTGTTATTGAGCTAGGAAAATTGTAATGACCTTTAACCTTTTGTTTGGAACAAATGAATGAATGAATAAACGAAGATGATGATGATAAATACGATGAATATGATGATAGTATTAGTAACAACAATATTATTAATTTTAATAATAATAATGATAACGAAGATAATGGTGGTGGTTGAGATAGATGATAATTTTTTTTCAAACGCTCCAAATAGCAACCCAATCAGACTGAATACAACCTGCCAGCCAAAAAGAAAAAACTTCAGGGTTATTTCAGACTGTCTAGACATTATAAGTTGGTGTCTCTTTGTCTGTCGTCTGTTTGTTTCGGTGTGTTTATGTCTGTATCTATGTGTGTCTGTTTCTGTATGTCTGTCTATGTGTTTTAGTTTATGTGTTGTATGTATATTGTATCTGTATGTATTTATTTATTTTTTGATATGTATGTCTGTTTCTGTATGTCTGTCTGTATCTGGCATGTATGTCTGTTAAATAAAAACAATAACAACAATAATAAAAACCATAATAATAATAATAAATAAATAATTGAATAAATAAATAATAATAAATATGACATATATAGGTGGGCTTTGAATCAAGTTTTCATAAAGTTCAATTACAATTCCTGTATTATTGTTGAAGGTCAGTGGTGATGGTGATGATGATGATGGTGATGGAGATGTGAAAATGATGATGATGATGAGGACGGTATGAAGATGATGAAGAAAAAGATGATGATGATAATGTGAAAATTACGACGTTAATTACATGAAGATGGTGACGATGTATATGATGAGAACGATGGTGAAATGGAAATGATGGTGATAGTCATGTGAAGATGATTGAAAATAATTATGATGAGGATGATGACGACGACGACGATGATGATGATGATGTTGTGAAGATGATGATAACGATGGTGATGGTAAACATTGCAGACGACTTGGAAATTTCTCCTGATTTTTTTGAGTACCTGATAGCGACGAAACCACTTCTAGAGAAGGACCCAACGCTGTACTGCGTGTCTGCCTGGAATGATAATGGCGTCAAAGCTGCTACGAATGTTAAACGATATGGTTGGTTGGCTAGTTAGCCTCATCGTTGGTTGGTTGGCTGATTGGCTGGTTGGTTGGCTGATTGGCTGGTTGGTTGGCTGATTGGCTGGTTGGTTGGCTGATTGGTGGTGCCAAATTTGTTGTTTTTCATCAAACTATTGTTGTTTTCATCTACATAGTTTAATAATTTCATCAATATATATTCATGAATTTGACTCAGATAATAACTTCGTGATATCATCCACCACACATACATAAAATTGACCTAGATCTGATCTTAAGAACTGACTTTTTTCCTGGCCTTGGCTGGTTGATGCTGAAGCCATTGTGGCTGGAGTTGGAACCTAAGTGGCCTGAGGCGTTAGTTGTTTTGACGGTGACGTTGGTGATGACGTTGATGAAGATGATTTTTAAGATGTCGTTGGTGATATATTTAATGATGATGAAGATGTCAAAGATGTTGTTACTGATCGATTAGATTCCAATTTTCAACTTAATTGTTCATATTTCATTCACTTTTTCACCTGTTTCTTTATTTTTCATTTTTGTTATCAGTGCTTTTAAATATGCTTCTTAACGTTTATTTGTACTTACGTTCATACGTTCATGCATACGCACACACAAACATACATACATACCTACAAACTTTTGTTTATTGATCATTCCTTTTACCTACGTGGAAATTTTTTCAAACGACAGCTCCTTTTTACCTATTTCTCTGTCTATCTGTATGTCTGACTATACATCTATATATCTATCTATCTATCTATCTAGTCTGGTCTATCTATCTATCTGGTCTTGGTCTGTCTGTCTGTCTAGCTATCCATCCTGCTTTCATTCATCAGCCCACCTACCGCCCACTTATTACGTTGAAATATTGCTTGACCGCCAGGTTCTGGGATGACTGGCTTCGGTCTCCAGAGATTAGGATGGGTAGGTCCTGCTTGAGACCTGAGGTTTCCAGGGTTTTTAACTTTGGAGAGCAGGGAGTCAGTAGGTAGGCTGGGGTTTTTTTTCATTTATTTAGTTACTGCTTTGTTTTATCCTTGCTACGTTCCTTTTTTTAGTTGGATTAGTCAGTATTATAATTAACGCAATTAAGTCATTGCATCATCCTGCTTTCACATCATCGCATCATCCTACTATCGCATCATCACATTCTCACGCCATCACAACACCTTTGACATCTTTGAAGGGGTCTACACTACAAAACGCATCTAGTCCACATTGTGAAAAATGAGAAGTTTGTTAATTTCAGACGCTACGACCTTAAATCTCTCATGTTTGTAAGTTAACTCCTCTATTGATCCTAATTTGATCTTTTATCAATTTTTCAACTTTATAAAATTTCAAACTAATCTTTCGTTATTATTATTTTGCGTTATTTAATTTGATAGTTTCTCGATATTTTTTTTAGAAATTGGTTGTTTGATTGATGCTTTCACAAACTTTTTTCATTACTCCCACTAAATTAGTACTGTTTCAGTAATTTTTACCGTATGTATGTAGTTTCTTATAAACAATCATTGAATCTTACTTCGCAAAGAAGTCGTCATTCTAACTGAAATTTTGAACTTCAAAAATTGTAACAGTAAATTTTTACTTGTTACATAGCATGAACCTCGTCTGTTAACTAATTCTTCTTTTTTCTCTTCATTCACTTCTAAGATCTCTCTTTCTTTTTTCTCTCTCTTTCTCTCTTTCTCTCTTTTTCTCTCTCTCTCTCTCTCTCTCTCTCTCTCTCTCTCTCTCTCTCTCTCTCTCTGTCTTTCTCTGTCTCTCTCTCTCTAATAGCACTTCATACTCTTCCACTTCATATTAAAAGGACAGTTTCTCCGAGAGTTTGTTGAGGACCGCTTATTCATCTGCATTGACGACGTCAGACAAATTGGAGGGAGACATCAGCAAGAAGCCTAACATCAAGTCATTCAGAATCAAGTACACGAATAAGGATAACTTTAAAACACTGGCCAAGAAGCTTAGCATCATGGCTGACACATTAGTTTGTATACATCTGTCTGTCCGTTTTTTTTATCTGCCTGCCTGTTTTTTTATCAGTCTGTCTGTCGAGTTTTCTGTATGTCTGTCCTATTTCGCATTATTTGTATTTTTGTTTGTCTTTCTGTTTGTCTGATTTGTGAAATGAATGGATGGACAAATAGGTATATGGATATATTGATAGATGAATGGACGGATATATAGATGGATAAGGGGAATGGATATATTGATGGACTGAAAATGAATGAATAGATGGATGATTATGTTGCTAGCTGATTGGATAAATGGATGAATGGATGCGTGGGTAGATGAATGAATATATAGATTAATTGATTGATTGATAAGTGGATGAATGGATGACCAATTAGATAAATATATGGATAGATAGTTCGATGGATAGGTGGATGGAAGGATGGATGGATAGAAGCGTAAAAAATGTAATTTTTGATATTAAAGTTCAATCTTAAGGAATTGTTATTAACAATTTATTTTTTTATTTGCAGCATAACATGCCACGAAATGCCTTCAGAGGTGTTGTGCCTATATATACCTTGGACAGGTGATTGGTTGGATTGTTAGTCAAGTGATTGATTGATTGATTGATTGATTGATTGATCGATCGATCGATCGATCGATTGATTGGTTGGTTGGTTGGCTGGCTGGCTGGTTAGTTGGTTCGATCGATCGATCGACCGATTGATTGATTGATCAATTGATTGATTGGTTAACTGGCTGGCTGGTTGACTGACTGACCAACCGACTGATTGACAGATTGATCGGTCGATAAATTCGCACATAATTAAATAATAATTTAATTTATAGTAATGTGTGACGTATTTATAACAATTTTATTAATATTTTTTATTAAACAGATGGGTCTTTCTGTGCCCTCCATATGACAATGGTGTCTACACAAACAACACCTGATCGCCAATTCTATTTTTTTGTTGTTGTTACTGTATTTGTTATAGTTAATGTTATTGTTTTTGTTGTTGTTTTTGATGTTGTTTTTACTGTATTTGTTGTTGTTGTTGCTGTTATTGTTTACGATGTTGTTGTTACTGCAGTTGTTATTGCTGATGTTATATTGGCGTTGATGCCATTTTGTTGTTGATACTTTTCATGCTGTTGTCATTTATATCATTTCATTTTTTTCACGCATTCCTGGCTTATATGTTGAGGAAAATTATTTTAGGTAATAAAATATTAAATAGTTAATTGGTAATAATTGCGCAGTATACAAAGGTCTATCTATGTCTGTATCTCTTTAAAATATTTTTCTCTTATCGATAACATATTGATAATATTTTTTGCTTATCGTTATCATTATGATTATTATTATTATTGTTATTTATTTCTTATTGTTATTTGTATTGTTGTAATTGTTATTATTATTATTAGTATTATTATATATAATTATAATTATTGTATTGGTGATGTCTGCTTGGGTGTTGGTTAAGTTGATTAATATTTTATTTTTATATGAAGAGCGTACATTAGAACATATCAATCATATATATATATATATATATATATATATATATATATATATATATATATATATATATATATATATATATATATACGTGTGTATGTATGTGTGTACTATATAATAGGGATAGATTTAACTTTATGTGCCACACTTACACACACACACACACAATCTCACACGCATATAAATTCACTCATACAAATACATACACACACATACATACATACACACACAGACACACAAATATATAATATATATTTATACATATATATCTTGTTTTTAAAAAGTTGTATATGATTTTCCTTATGATGACGCTGATGCATTTAGGATAGATGAAACATGTCATTCCACTCTATTTGTTAGGTAGCTTATTCGCTACGACTGTCTGTTTACTTCTAAGTTTTTTTCCTGTTAACCCGAAACAAAGTACCCATCGCAATATGTATTGTGAGATGTACCTGCCGACCACGAAGCATGTTTGTATTATTATGTGTACAATACAATAAAATACGACACCAACACAATAACAATACCATACAATACATACAACACAATAACATACAATACAATAAAATACATACAACACGATGCACCTCAATGCAATACAATACGGTACATTTACAATATAAAACTAAACAATACGACACAATAGAATATGACACCAAGCAATACAAAACAATACAACACAGTATTCGCATCTGCATCTGCCGAACGTTTATACTAATTAGAATTAATTTTTTTTCTTCTTTCCTTCAGTACATTCCATTGGATTTATAATGCGTTTCATGTGCGTCTGTCTGTCCGTCTGTCTGTCTGTCTGTTTATCTGTATGCCTGTATTCATAAATCTTTAAAAAGTTTTGTTAATTGAATATATATTTATATGTGTGTGTATGTATTCTTATGTCTGTTTGTATTGTAAGGAAATGTAATGTCGGTGCCTTCCAACGGTGATATAGTATAAATGAATGTGTACGTGTGTGCGCGCGTATGTATATGTGTGTGCGCGCGCGCGTGCGTGTTTATGTCTGTGTGTGTGTTTGTGTGTGTGAATTGCTGGTTCGTATATCCATTAATGTTATTCAAATTCTTCCAAAATTTTTCTTTTTCGCATTCCACTGATATTATTTTGATACTTTTCCAAGTGATGATTATTCCATCTTTTTCGTTCGGTAATTATTGAAGATATTGTTTGTCCTCTTTTTTTAATCATTTGAACATAATACACAACTTGCCAATGCGAATTTACATTTTATTCACATAACATTCATTGTTAGCTATGTGTCTTCTCTTGTTGTTGTTGTTGTTGTTGGCCTATTTTTCTAATTTCTTCATTCTTTTTGGAATCATCAAATTCATTATTACTACTTGCTGTTATTCATTCTTTATTATTATTATTATTTTTATTGTTATTATTACTGAACCGGATGAAACCACGGATGGAATGGCAGTCTCCGTGCTATCCACATCCCACTTTGTATCGTCCGACATTCATTCAGTCAAACGATTTAACCAGGAAGGTTCAGACAGACAGAGTGAGGCGTAGGTCACGCGAAGTCGGGTGAAAGCAACACGATATCGTAGGCTATGCCTTGGTTTGGTTGAAACCGTTGGTGGGCTAACTGTTTGTTGGGTTAAAGCGTACATGCGGCCTTTGAAATGGTCTCCGCGTCTAATTTTTTTCACATCAATTTCATTTCAGTTTGTTATTTTATTAACTATATCAATTAATTAATTAAATAAATAATTTAATTGATTCATTCGTTTATTTGTTGATTCAATGACTTGTTCATTAGTTAATTAATTTCAAGCACATCCATCTTTATCGTCATCGTCATTTTTATTATTATTCTTACTAATTGTTAACTCACATTATTGTACTGCAGTGTACTCTATGATAAGAAATGTTAATTCGTATGCGTTCCGTCTTTTTGAAAATATTCCATAGCAGATAAACTTACACAGAGTAATATAGAGTAGATAGATACATGATACAAAGATCCAAAGAGACGTCTGAATTTACTGACATACGAATTTTGGGCGCGTAGACGAGTACGTTGTTTAATACTTGTTATTATAGGCCGCTCAATGCTTCGTAGGCTGTGCATCATAGTTTTTACGTTTGGTTGTGGGTTAGATTTAAAACATGAAATTTTCGAATTAAATCGTCAGGGTAGAGGTTTCGCATTTGGCATGACATTTCCAACATTTCACCATAGCCAGCATAATTATAATTGCGATTGGAGTAACCAACAGCGTCGATGAGACAATTTTGAGATTGTTATTCTCGCCTCCAAAGCAATTAAACAGAAATTATTTCATCACACCTGATTCTAGTAGCATCGATACTATAAGAAGTTTATTGCAACAATCCGTCAATTGTGGCAGTTGTATTATCACTTCATTCAAAAATTTTCAATACCTTTGATGCGTTCTCTTGATATGATAGTTAAATATGATCTTGCGCACTGAAAAAATTGACATCGTAATATATTTCTCCGTTTCATCATGTTGGCTTTTTTTGAAAAATTACTGCCCTTCACTGCCTGCAACAATCGATTTAACTAATCAAACTCATTCGATTTCATCGTTGAAGCAGCAACTGCACCCACCACTCCAACAAACGACCACTGAACTTCAGGGTTAACTAATTTTTAAATTCGAGCATCGGTGCCCATTGTGTGTGAAACGAATTTGTTGTTTTCCATTCCACGCAGAAACTCCGAACGTTCCAGAGGTTCCTTCTTGGCAACGGTGAATCAGGCGATCAGAGTCATCCAAGATTTAGAGGAACCGGAAATAAAAGACCGATATATCAGAAAATTTATTTTGCTTATAAAACTTTTTTGTTCAAATGCGATAAATACAAATATATCGTTTGACTACTAAGCTTAATTTTAGTATAGAGAAAGCTAAAAAGAAAATTAATTGTTGTGAAAGACCAGAGTAACGATATGTTTAATTATTACATTTCCTTAACAGTCTGAATAAAACTGACAGGAAAATTTATTGTCGTGGGGATTGAACTAAAACACGAAGCTCGTCTTTAATCCATCACGACCTTTCGACCGCACCAGTCCTCTTAAGTTACTACAGTCAATGAATGATTGTTTTAATGCATTGATTTTTGTTAGATATAGTATAGTGTTGTTATTATAGTGTATAGTGTTGTTATAGTATAGTATAGTGTTGTTATGCACGTGATTGTTATTATTATTATTATTATGTCATTTATTGCGATAGGTATTTTATTTCATTATTTTATTTTATTTGTACTACCATTTTCATTGATTTTATTGCTGAACAAAAGATTGTTTCCATTATTATTATTATTATTATTATTATTATTATTAGTAGTAGTAGTTATTTTTGTTGTAATACTATTTTTTATTTTTTCTGTTTTTATTAGGAGTCTATGATCGTTAGTTAGAAACGTTAAGCAGTCAAACAAACATGGTAATATGATGATTCGTTATTTAGACTGTTTGATTTGATTGATTGAATGGTTTATTGGTTGGTTGGTTGATTGGTTGGTTGATTGATTGATTGATTGATTGATTGATTGATTGATTGATTGATTGATTGATTGATTGATTGATTGATTGATTGATTGATTGATTGATTGATTGATTGATTGATTGATTG